ATAAAATTAAGAACCCATGGGGCGCCTGGGTGGCTCAGTCGTTGGGCGTCTGCCTTCAGCTCGGGTCATGATCCCAGGGTCCTGGGATCGAGCCCCATGTCGGGCTCCCTGCTCAGTGGGGAGTCTGCTTCTCCCTCTGCCGCTCCCAGGGCTCGTGCGTGCTCTCTCTCACTCTCTCTCTGACAAATAAGTAAATAAAGTCTTCAAAAAAAAAAAAAACTAACTAAGAACCTGAAAAGCTCTTCTTTCCTCTGATCTATAAAAAGTAGAAATAAACGAACAGAAATTTTCACACACAGATTTTGTAAAAAAAAATCAATCTGACTTTTGTTTACAAATCAAAGTCCTGGGGCGCCTGGGTGGCTCAGTTGTTAAGCGTCTGCCTTCGGCTCAGGTCATGATCTCAGGGTCCTGGGGTTAAGCCCCACGTCGGGCTCCCTGCTTAGCGGGAAGCCTGCTTCTCCCTGTCCTTCTGCCCTTCTCCCGGCTTGTGTACGCTCTCTCTCACTCTCTCTGTCCCATAAATAAATAAAGTCTTTTAAAAAATAAAACAACCACACAGCTGGCGTGCTCCCAGCCTCCACCCCAACCCTGTGCATCCGAGCCCACTAGCAGAGCTGCTCCACACTCCTCGGACCTCACTCCGCTGCGCACAGACCGCCCCTGCAAGTGCACGCCAGGGGGAGCCGCTCCGGCAGATTGGGGTTGGGCCACCTGTGCCCGCGGTTGAGGGAAGACTGGCCATCGGCAACGTAAAGGCCCTGGAGAAAAGCCAAAGGGGCTGAGCCTTCTCTGTGCTGCAGTGACCAGCTGCCGTGGGAAAGCGCTCTGTCCCAAGGCTCTGTGAACCCTGACGCCACGCTTGGGATCCTACTTCTGAAGAACGCCCTGGAAGCTGGAAGGGAAATGCCCACAATGGCACTCAAGGGGCCAGGGAGGTGGTCTCCGTGGGGCACCGAGATGCAGGTGGAGGGGCTGGGATGGGAAAGGGGGTGGTAACAGGGAAGACGCACATCCGCCCACCAGCTGCCTCAAAGACAGCCCAAAGGAGGCCTCTCCAAACTCAACAGGGCCCAAGACACGTTTTCATCGTATGCCAATAGTCTAAAAAAAGTATATGCAATGTCCGTGACAGGTGAGCGTCCAAAAACAAGTGTCCACGGGCTGGTATGGAACATCTTTTCCCTTTTGAGATAAACCAATCCTATTTACAAGAGCACAAACACCTGAGCAGTAAGAGCGTTCAACATTCTATGAGAAAAGCTTAATTTGTAAACGATTCTCCAGTCTCGCTCTTCCAGAAAGGTGGGGAATGTAAGCCAGGGTAGACACCGCACGGCAGGCCCCGGAGCCAGCAGAAGGCATGGGTCGGGCAGCCACAGACCGGGGCTTTCTGCTCAGCCTGACGTTACCTCTTTCCGCTCTGTCTCTGCCTGGACTCTGGCCTGGGCCACGGCAGCTTCTCGGTAGGAGCTGGCCTGCTTGGCTTGCTCGAACAGCGTCTTCAGCTGCTGTGCCGTACTGAGCAAGGAGTTGACCATCTCTTCCAGGTACAGCCAGCTCCGCGGTTCTGACATTTCCAGCCCGTTGACCACCGTGGGAGACACAGCTTTGGTGGGGGTGGAGGGTGGAACTGCCAAGGCCGGCAGAGAGGTCAACACTAGAATGGTTGGAAAGCAAAATAAAACAAGAAATCATTATATTTCCTCCATTAAAACTTATCAAATGTTGGAAAGTGGGGGCAAATGACCCCAGGCATAAATACCACACGACCTCCCCCTAAAACGCTAGAAGGTGGGGAGACATTCCTACATTCACAGCACCGCACTTAAACGTCCCTCGTGCCGCCGCCACCTGCAAGCATCTGCGGAGACCCAACCCTGTGCGTACAGGGCCGGAAGCCAGATGCCCAGACAGAGACCACAACAAAGTGTGCCCTGCGCAGGTGGCCATGAAGCATCAGATGGCGTGGGACAAGGAAGGACAGCCTGAGGCAGTGACTCCGGGTACCCCGTATGAACCCATGAGATGGAAGCATGAGGACGCCCTGGCTCCGTCTCTGCTCATGTCGAGTCCTCCCTGACGTCTGTGCCCACACATGGGGTCCTGATTAGGGGTCACAGGCGTCAGGCTTCTCACGGAGGGAGGACAACATTACAAAGATGGAAAGGAGGAAACTGGGAGGAACCTGTGGTTCGGATGGGAACTGGACTCTCAATACACATGCCAGAGCCAGGACACCCATGTACGCGCATCCCACCTCTGTCCGCTGGGAGGGCCTGTGGGCAGGGACACCCCCAGAGCAGTGAGCACCCCGGCCTTCCAGGACAAAAGCCCCCGATGCGCCCCACGTGGGAGATGTGGGCAGGGAGGCAGGGGGAGGGAATAATGAAGCAAGTGCTCGCCAACAAGAAGTTTGTGTGTCTGCAGCGCTATGATGAGTTTCCGTGTTGCCGCATCGTCTGTAAAGGCTAAAATGTACAAACACAGCCACCCAGCAGCTGGGATCATAAAGCTCCCTTGAAAAAAAAGCGTACTGAGACAGCAGCGTGTCCAAAACGTGTGGTTAAGTGAGACATGGAACCAAAATGCACGCGTGCCACATCATCATTAGGTCTTGGAGCGGGAGCGATGGCAACGCTGGTCCTTCCATGTGTCGCGGACACCGAGTGCTCCGTGCCGGCCCCAGAGACGCCGGCCCGGACGCAGGGAGCACACACCCTCACGGGCAAGTTGGAGCAACAGCATGGCCTCCCTTTGCCAAGTCCCGGCAGTAGCGTGGGCCTCCATGTGGGCCGTCTGCCGCCACACGGCGCGTGGACGACCGGCAGGGCCGAGCTCCAGTGGAAGCGCGTTCACAGACACGGGCAGCAGATGGGGCTTCGCCAGCCCCCAGTCTAGCGTCTCAACAAGACAAACCCAAACAAAACCTACTCCACTTAGAAATGCTGTCCTAGGGCGCCTGGGTGGCTCAGTCGGTTGAGCGACTGCCTTCGGCTCAGGTCATGATCCCAGAGTCCCTGGATCGAGTCCCGCATCGGGCTCCCTGCTCTGCGGGGAGCCTGCTTCTCCCTCTGAGCCTCCCCCCTCTCGTGTGCTCTCTGTCTCAAATAAATAAATAAAATCTTTAAAAAAACAAAAGAAATGCTGTCCTAATGAGCAACTCTGAGGACACCAGCCCGCAAGTGCGGGAGCTCTCTCAAACCAACCTATTTTGGGATGAGATGTTGGCAACGCGGCTTCTGGAAACGGTGCGATCTGACAGCTGTCCTGGTAGCCTGGGTAGTGGGGCTCCGGGTGGCCGACTCTGCATGGGGGCTGCACACCTGCCTCTTGTACTGTTGGGGACACAAGGGACAAGACAGTCTGCTGACCCGCTGTGGCTGCAGATGTGGCATCTCCAAGCGCCTGCAGCTGCACCACCCCCGGGGTAAGTCGGGACGCAGAGATGCTGGAACCGGGGTATACGGGCGATGTCAGTCTCAGCCACGTCTCTCCACCTTCTGGCCGTGGCCCCCGGGGCTTGTGCTGCGTGGCTGCTGGAGAGCAGGAGTCGGCGGGCCGGAAGCACTTTCTGTCACACCGATCAACCCGCACCCCTGCAGGCCTGCCCGGCGCCCTCCCGCACCCACCAATCTGAAGCCCCTGCTCCAGGCTGCCGCCACCGCGCCCCAGGTCAATAGAGGTGATAGGTGCCGCCCGCCCACGGGGTGCTGAGGACAACTCACCCGTGGCTCCCGCGAAGACATCGCTCTGGGCTGGGCTCTCTGAAATGACGGCGGTAGCCTCCACAGTGGATGCCCGGTCAAAGGTCAGCGCGCCCGAGGTAGTGATCTGTCCTGAGGGGGTCACGGTGACTGGAAAAGCAGAAGCGCTGTTTACCACCCGGCTCTCCCACAGCGCAGGCCAAAGCCCGGACAAGGCACATGCCGGAAGAGACCAGTGACCCTCAGCGCCTCGGAGGGGACCCAGGGCTGAGGCACAGGCGATGGGCTCTCCGCAACACCCTGCTCACATCCAACCTGGCAACAGAGGCAGGAATGGCCTCCGCAGAAAACAAACCAAAAAGCGTAAGCCCGCAGCCCTTGTGCTCCGGTCGCCTGGGACCGCCTCGCCCCACTCCGTGAATCCCTGCTGCCCATTCCGAGCTTCAAACACAGACCTTCCCTCCGCCCTCCCGTCTGCGAGACAACGGTGTGGGCCGTTCACGCGCCGGGCACGTGCCCAAGGCTGCAAAGACCAAAACCCAAGAACCTTCACTGGGAAGGTGCCCACACGGACGCCCCCTCTGAGGAGGAGGAGCCGCTCCGGGTTCATTTCGTTAGAAAATATGTGTGGGCACCCGCAAAGGGGTCTACGGAGACGAGGGAGCCCCCCGAGGGTGTCCCCCACGCGAACAGCGAGGCAAGCCGCGGGGGTCGGAGGTTGGAGGGGCCACGCTCCGTCCCACTCAACTCACAGGCGGTGGCAGCTGTGGCGGGCAGCAGCGTGATGTTCTTGGGGGGCTCCTTCTTCACGGGGGTTGTGGGCAGCTCGTTCTCCTTCTTGCGCCTTTTGTAGGGGACAAAGAGCCTGACCGGACCGCTCTGTGGGGAGAGGCACAGTGAGGGCAGGACGGAGCTGCCCCACACTCCACTGCTGACGCAGCGACCCGCTCGTCTCCCTCCCGCGCCGGGGGCACAGCGAGGCTCGCCAAGGTGGGAAGCTGCAAAGACTGACCTCGCCTCAGGCCCCAAATTCCTCACAATGACAGAAAAGATACTTTTTAAAAGAACACGTGAATAACACTGTTTGAACACAAGAGAAAGTATCATCAACATATGGGATTTTTAGGAACTGCAAGGAGACAGAAAGCAAAGGGGAATGAGTTAAGGAGAAAGGAGAGACCCCTGCCCAAAACAAGAGAACATTCCCCAGAAAGGAGGAGGCCCTGTGGTCACCAACTACAAGGGAAACCTCAACACACCAGCACGGAGCAGATCTGGGCGAGGCGGGGGGAACTGACAGCTGCAGACCCTGAGGGCCGGACCATCTTGCTGGCCGTCACCGTGCTTGGGGGGCGTGAGACCCTTGGAACCGGCGCAGGCTCACTGCTGTGGGCCCCTCCACTCAGTTTTTCACTTGGGTCTACTGTTTTTCAGTTCTAGAATTTCCACTTGGTTCTTTTTTTGTAATTCCTGTCTCGTTATGGAGTCTCCGTCTGCGGAAACACGGCCATCCTCCCTCCTGCTCTGCACGGAGCACACGTGGAGGCTGGATCCCCAGCGGCTGTTTCTGCAGTAAGTGCAGTCACGGGGGGCCCTGACTTGAGGGGTCCGAGCGCTCGCTCCCTCTGCCGCCGGGGATCTTGCCTGTGAGGATCCCATTTCTGGGGTCGAAGGCCACCCCCCCGCCCCTTCTGGCCCAGCCATGTGTTCTGCAGTGGACACCTGAGCCACTGAGACATCGTCCATGGATTCTTCAGACGGTTCCATGAACATAGACAGGGGACCGGGAGGCCTCTGTCCAAGTGACGTCTCGGTCGTGTCTGCAGTGCGTTTTCTCCCGTGTGGCTCGCACTTTCCATCTGTGTGTCTTACACCTTTTTGTTGAAAACTGGACATTTTAGGTGACGTACTTGAGCAACACTGAGACTGACTCCTTCTCTGCAGGGCTTCCTGCTGCCGCTCATGGGCTTAGTGACCTGGCTACACCCCGGCAGAGTCTCACCGGGTGGAGTCCCACCGGGCGGAGTCCCACTGGGGGAGCCCCACCCTGCAGAGTCTCACTGGGCAGAGTCCCACCAGTGAGTCACACCGGGAGAATCCCACCCTGCAGTCTCACCCAGCAGAGTCCCACCGGCCGGAGTCCCACGGAAGGATGCTGCCCTGCTTCCAGCCGCCTGCTCTAACAGTGCCCGGGGCATAACTGCTCCACTGTCTGATCCCAACTGCATTAGGGCTCCTTCATGGGGAGTTTTCGAGACAAACCTTTGAGGTCTGTTCCTATCCCAGGACTCTTGTGAGCTGCGGTTTTCCCTGGTTCTCTGGTTTAGCCTGTTGCCCTCAGCCTCTGCCGGCCTCCCCTTCAGGGCTCACATCCATACGGCACTGCTCCGGAGCCGGCGGCAGGAATGGTCCTCACGTCTGTCTGAGCAGCAGCCCTGCTTTAGCGGCAGAGCCCTGGTCTCGGTCCTTCTCCCGTGGCATGGAGCTCCACACTAGGAGCGAGCTAGGGTGAGGACGCTGAGGCACAGTACTCCTACCCTGCCACTCCCGGGTGGAGCCTCTGCCCGCTGAGAGAGGCTGGGTGCAGGAAGGCAGCTCCGATCTCTCGGTCACACTTGCCCAGAATTTAGTTTCTGCCACTCAGAGCCAGGGCTGGGCATGCCGGTCCGGTGCTGAAGGGAGAGGGAGTGGGGCTCCCTTCACAGAGAGCTGGAGGGAAGCGGGAGTGAGCAGGTGCACGGGGCTCTTCATACTAAGGTCCCTGCAGTGGAAGCCAGAGTGTTAGAATTTGCAAGTTCGATTCACCAAGTTTTAGTTTATGGATTGTGCCTTTGGTTTCACGTCTGGGAAACCCTAGGCCATGAAGTTCTCCCGTTTTCTTCCACGAATGTTAGTTTTATGTTTTGGATAAACCTGGATCTGTGATCCATTTTGAAGTCATTTGTATATAAAGCGCCAGGTTGAGGCCAAGGTGCGTCTCTAGGCCCACGGCCGTCCGGCGGTGCCAGCAACTGGCGCGTGAGCACACACGGAGCCTCTCGCTTCGCCGACACCGTACACCTTCATGACAGCAGCCGTGGAATGGGGCTTAATCCGCATGCGCTGGGACTCCTCCAGCTTTAGTCATTTTCTCAAAATTGCTTTGGTTGTCCTATTCCCTTTGCCTTTCAAAGTCAGCTTGTTTAAAGCTCCACAGAAGCCCGCTGGGATTTGGATAGGAACCGCGTGAAGCCTACAGACCCTGTGAGAAGAACTGGTGCTCTCAAGCCCCATGGGCTTGGCGCATCTGTGCCAGGTCTTCCCAGGTCCTCTCTACAGCACTTCCTAGGTTTCTGTACATGGATTCGGTACACGTTCTGTTAGACTTACATGTATTTCAGCGTTTTGGAGTAACTGCAAAGAATTCAAACACTCTAAACTTCCAGATGGAACGAATTCCCTCTTACTGCTCTTTTTCTCCCTACAAGATCCCCGAGAATCTCACTACTAGTTTCTCCAGGCGAATTTTAAAGTCATTTAATTTTCACAAAAATATCCCATTGTTGATTCCACTAGAATCACATTTAGCCTATACGTGAACTAGACAATTTAAGAATATTTAGTTTTTCCACCCGAGAACATGATTAAATTAAATGTTCATATCTTCTAATTATTAACCAGATGAGTAGTCAAAATAAAATCAGGAAATCTCATTAAGCACCTTCTAAAATTTGAAAATAGTTTTAAATAGAATTCAATGCTAAGGAAGGTTGAATACTGGGATATTCATATGTTACAAATCAGTATCACGTTTTTGAAAGCTATACAGCAACATACGTTAAAGTCAATGAAAAATAGTTATTCTTTTCAAAACTGTTAAGGATTTAGGATAAAGAAATATTTCAAAACATATTAAAAGCTCCTCATAAATAATTTCGATGTAGTATTCTTATGAAATAACGTTAAAAACGTAGAATGTAAAACAGCACATATATACTTCTTATAACCGTGAAAAGAAAGTGTGTGTCTGGTCTTGGGGTTAAATGTCCAGACAGGCCCCCTTCCATGTGCTGTGACCGGTGCGCAGGGCCAGCCTCGTGCGTCGCCTGAGGCATCAGAGTAACAGCTGAAAAGCAGAACTCGAGTGAGAAACTGCTAACAAGCCCTAGCTAAGCTGCAGGTGCCCTCGAGCTGCGTGCACGGCACAAGGACAGGACGGGGCGCACGAGCAGGGAGCCGAGGGTGGGATGCCACTGTGGGCGCACAGAGCCGCGGAGCGAGCCTGGCGACTGGCCACTTCCCGGACACTCACCAAGGTCATGTCATCACAGCAGGCAGCACAAGTGCAAGACGCAGCATGAGGGTTTAGGATCCCGTCCTGAAATGCAGAGAGTCCCGCGGTGCGTGAGAAAGCCAGCCTTCTGTGTGAACCACGGACGCTAGAGGAGGGCAACTAGCTCTGCCACTGATCTGCCACGCACGCAGTCCAAACCCTGTCGCTTCCAGAAACTGATCTCTCCCCCACACTTCCACACAAGGCCATTATTGGTGGCAGGATCCACAGCTTCCCCTCCAGGAGGTGAAAGATTCTACGGACATTACTTCTTGATCAACACCCAAGCACTACGCTGCAAAGAGCAGTTAGAAGCCCTCTTCTCGTACGATGAGTAAACTGAGGCAGAGGAAAGTTAGGCTTTTGAAGGGGGCACGCGCCTCAGTCGGAGCTCCCGTGTTGCCTCATGCACGCCTGACAATACCATCACTGTCCTCCTGTGTGAAACACCAGCAAAACAAGGCTGGTGCCTGGCCCAGGGCCACACATCCAGGGGACACGGGACCCACAGCCCGTCTGCCTGACTGCGTTCGGCGGCCCCGCCACAGGGCACAGCGGCCAGGGAAGCCCCACAGCCTAAGCCTGGGGAGACACTCCTGCTGCATCTTCAAGCTTTCTGCTAAGACACAGGGCACCTGAATGAGGCACTGCAACGGCCTGCCCGCGTAGCGAATGCTTCTCTTCCAGTCTTTACTGCTGGCTCTTCCTGCCATGGCTTCAAACTCGGTTGGACTGTACCAGTTCTCCCCCTGCTTAATGCATCGGCCCCGGCCTCCTAAAATGACACACGGGACCAGCAGTGAGGGCAATGCCCACCCACAGCACCCCCGCTGGCTGACAGTGGCCAGGTCCCCCTCCTCTCCTTCCCCACCTCCCACCTGGCTCCTCCTCAGGTGCTCCACAAACACCAGAGCCCCCGCCTGGGCCTGCATGATCTCACCCTTTCCCACGGACAGCCCCCACCACGAAATCACACGTGCAGGCCACGCCTGCCTACTTTATCTGTCTGCTCACCGGCCACAGGCACCAAAAGCCCAACATGGTCTCACGTGGAGCTCGTGACATCTGCCCCACTCCCAGAATGGGGTGGGTCCCCATCGCTACGGGTCCCCAAGCTGACCCGGGAACGTAGGGAGCGCATTCCAGGCCTGCCTCTCCCTGCACTCTCCCTCCTCCACGGATCACTATGTCTTCTCAATGTGCCCCCACCACTCCCCAAACCCGTCCTGGCCTCAGCTCTACTGCCCAGGGGCCGTGAGCCCAGCCTGCTACTTGGCCCGGGCCCGGCGCAGCCGCCAGGGGAAGGGCGTGTCTGCATCCCGGCAGCGGGGGCCCGCGCCGCCTCACCTGAGCCCAGCCGGCTCTTGAACAGCGTGCCACTGATGTTCCGGCAGCGCACGGGCAGCTCGCTGTCGTACACGGAGGGGTCCCAGTTGTATTTGGTCCCACCTCTTTCTTGGCCGGGAGCCGCAGGACTTGGAGGACACTGAGGGCCTTGAGCAAAGGAAGCATTTTGAAAATAAGAGATGCGGGACACTCCCAGCATAACTGGAAAAGTACAAGCACCTCCTGGACTCTAACGGCTACCACCCCAACACAGCAGCACCGTCCCCTTCCGCTCTGGGCAGCTCCTTCTCGGCCTGGAAAAGCCCACTTTCTCTCCTCAGACAATAATATTCCTATTCCAAGTTTACCACAAAACTAAATAAGCCAATTCCAGAGTGAACCCCGCGAGCACTCGGACGCGTTCTGCTCCGGAAAGCCTGGGGCAGGAACGGGCAGCACCTGGAGTAAGCGGAGCAGCTGGCCCCTTCAGCCCGGCCGTCTCCACGATGCTCCCGTCCGTGTGCACGACAATCAACGTGGCCTTCTCGGTGTTCAGGCTGTCCCCGATCTGCAGCGCCGTCCTGCCAGACTGGAAGAAAGAACGTCCCCTAAGTCATCTCAGACAACAGCTGCAGGGCCTGTTCGCCTGATCCTTGCTCACCATCACCAACAAGGGCACCGACCGGGATTCCGGGGCCTCTTTCAAAGACGCCCCTAAAACACCTAAACACTGAGCCAAGAACAAGAAAGACAATGCTCTGGGAGGCCCTGAGCAAATGCTCACAATCGCCTGCCACAGGGAAAAAATAACCACGTCCCACAAATACACCCTGGAAACAGGAAGTACCCTCACGTCTACCTGAACAGCCTCTGCAAGTTCACAGGTTTCTAGGGAGGGTTCTGACAGACAAGTCCACACTCAACGCCGGGGTCTGGGGCAGGATTCCCTTTTCATGCCCATGCCCCATGCACAGCTCTACCGATGGCCACCAGATACCAGGACCTCCCCAACCACGCTGCTCACACACCTGTCCACGGTGGCCAGGGGCTACCATGACAGCACCTACTTCCTCTGGGCCAGCCTGGCCTCACCCTTAACCAACTGAGCCACCCAGGCGCCCCTAGCCTGGCCTCACCCTTCAAGCTGCCCTGCTCTCCGGGAGAGCCAGATGCCCCTCTCCCATCCCTGCTGGCCCTAGGCGCACACCTCACGGGGCTTTGGCAAACAAACTCTCAAGGCTTTTCCCAGACAGCCCTGGGGTAGATGACACTCACTCCAAGCGGCCTGTTCAAACCAACATCCTGGGGTGCTCTGATGCTTTCATGGTGAGAACAGAACCCACGAAGACAAAGTGAAAAGACCTCTCCTTACATCTGAAAATCAAATCAGGGGAAGGGAGTACCAGCTCATTGTGGAGTCTAGGGACCTCCACCCCACGAGCATACACACACACACACACGCACACGTGCACATGCACCCAGGTCCTGGGCTCATATACCTGGAGAGTCATTGCCTCAGTAAGCATATCAACACCACTCATGTCTGAATCACTGAACACAAGCAACTCTACTGGAAAAAGGGAATGTTCTGTATTCATTTACAAATCACAAAACTAGGGGCGCCTAGGTGGCTCAGATGGTTAAGCGTCTGCCTTCGGCTCAGGTCATGATCCCGGGGTCCTGGGATCGAGTCCCGCATCGGGCTCCCTGCTCAGCGGGAAGCCTGCTTCTCCCTCTCCCACTCCCCCTGCTTGTGTTCCCTCTCTCGCTGTGTCTCTCTCTGTCAGATAAATAAATAATATCTTAAAAAAAAAAAAGATTAAAAAAAATCACAAAACTATTTCCTCATTAAGGCCAACGAGAACACCCAGACATTTGAGACCCGGATCACACTAAGTCTGCTGGTCTTCCTGTCCTCAGAGCCCACTGCCAGCACTGAACCCAGGAGGCTGCACCCCAGCTCCCTGACCCTCTGGCTCCAGTCCTTTCTAGAAAAGAAGACAAACCAGAATCTGCTGGGAAGGAGAGACCAGTTGGAAGCATGAAGCTGTCACCTGGCTATCAGCTCATATGCATTCTGACACCCTAAGAAATAAAGCAAGTTTCTGAAATCTGTAGTCTGCTATTATAATTAAGAGCGCGAGTTTTCTGTTTGTTGCCATGCCAACGACAGTAACTTTGCTTCCAGGGATATAGTGTCCCAGGTGTGTGATCAAGGCTAGAGAGAAACCGTAACTAAGAGCTGTGGCCAAGCTCCAGGAGAGCCCTCCATTGTGCGGTCATCTGGCCAGGACCCGCAGACAGGAGCACAGCCTGAGGGCAGAGCACAGCCACACCCCTCAGGGCACCCAGGGAACCCAGAGCAGGCCTCTGGGACAGCCAGGCTTAGGGAAGATGCCCTCTGGGTTCTGGGGAAAAGTGCTCGTAGGGCAGCTTACCAGAACGTGTCCCGAGAGGGAGGCGGCATTCGCCACGGACGTGGTGAAGACGTTGTCTGCGGAGGCGCCCACGTTGGCCACGGTCACCGTGGTCACCTCTGCAACACAGGAGCCTGATTCAGCATACCCTCAGAGCTGGGGGCCTCCCACTTGGGCCCCAAACCACGTCTCTCCATCAGTTGTCTGCACTTCCAACCAAGGGACTCTCAACGTTTGTACACTAAGTGCTCACTCAATACTTCTAGACCACAGGCTAGGTGATCTGGCTCTTAGAAAAAGAGAGAGGAAAGGCTCTCCAGGCATTAGAGCCTTTTTCATTCGCAGTGAAAACCCGCCCCGCCACGCTCCCACTGAGCCGCCCCTGGGCTTCTTGCTCCCTTTTAGGAGAAAACCACACACCAAGGCTCCACGCATCCTGTGATCATCCTGTGATTAGACACCCGCCGTGTCACCGACACACAGTTCCCTCCCTTCCCGGCCCCCCTCTCCAGGTCAGCACAGGGCAGGCTCAGGTCCCTTCATCGTCCTCTTCCCCCCCTCCCCCTCTCCTGCTCACTGCCCGCAGCAGAGGCTTTCCCTTCCCTCTCCGGGGCTGGGTCACACAACGCTCTAGAATGGCCCATGCCTGGGGCAGCCTCTGGCACATGGGAAGTGCCCCACAAACACTGGCTGAAAGAGTCCTGCATATTCCACGAAGCCAGCGCCCCCCACACTCCACTGAAACACCTGTCCCCCGTCTGTGTCCTCCCCTAGACCACACCCAGGAGTGCCAAGGAGATCCCTGCCTGAACACACTGGACTCGGCCAAGTAGCTGTCTGCCCAGAGGAGGTGGCCTCAGATGGGCAACACGTCCCGCTGAGTTACTTCCACCTGGAAATTACCTGACCTCAGGAACTTAGAAAAGTTGTAATGCTTTCAAGTATGCAAAAACACAACTATAAAATTTTGCAGGAAAAACAACTCATTTCTCTGAGGCTGTGATGACTGGTATCACATTTCTTTTCTGCATCCAGAAAAAACATTATGCAAAAAGCACAAAAAACTGAAGAAAAACTTCATGGTCCAAAATCCCAACATTAAACCAGTTTGGCGAAAAGAACAAAGGCTCTAACAGCCACAAAGCCTTCTTCCCTCAATCGTGAGGACCCCAGGCAGACCACAGACCAGCAGCACTGGGGCAAGCAGGACCTGGCCTGCACCTGAGGGCCGGATGAACACCTGGAGTCGTGACCAGGACCACGAGGATGGAGGAGGCTGCTGCCCAGTCCCCAAACCTGGGAGCTCCTTAGGGGAAAGTGCCTGACAACGCCATGATGACGCTCTGCCAGGGTCCCACGCACAACTCTGAGTCCTCGGAGGCCTCCAGGGCCACTGGGGAGCACAACACCTGGGAAAGTCTCTACCATCTTTGGGTTGGCAGTCTGGGGAGACAGACAGGGACCGACCAGGAAGGCAATCTGAGGAGTCAAAGCACGATGGCGACCTCTGCTCCCAAAGGTCACAGGGCCTCCCAAGCTGGGTGAGCAGTCTTGCTCCCTGGCTCTCAGGTCACCCCTGAACTAACCCTCAGGATTCCAGGAGACCAGACACACCCACCCTCAGGCTCCTCCGGGGCAGGATCCATGTCCGATCCCCACTCCCCTCATCCCCCCAGCCCCCAGGGTCACCAGCGCCAGGGAGAGACAGAGAAGAGGACAGGCAGGGCAAGAGGCAGGTACTGGGAAGGTTCTGGAAGAAGTGCAGAGTGCTTCACGCGGGCGTGGGCAGGCGCAAGGTTAAAGAGGTCTGGGAAGCAGGTTCGGGGAAATGTGCACACTGGGCAGGGCCAGGCTGGTGACATGGGCAGGCGTGCAGGAATGTCAGGGCACACGAGGTAGGTGCGAGGCATGCGGGAGGCCTGTGTTCGGGGGAGCAGAGGCAGGCCGGTCGCCGGGGCGCGCGCAGGGCAGGTGTGTATGGGAGGCAGGGCGTGCGGGGCAGGTGCGCGCAGGTGCACGGCCGGGCGCGGGACAGGTGCGCGCAGGTGCGCGGGAACCGCGGGCGGGCGGCACTTGCCTGCGAAGG